ACAACTGCAATTGAAAATGAAGAGCAAGAATGGAGGAAAGAAAGTAATGTTGTTGTCACTGCACATGAAAACAAACTCATTTTTTAAAAAGCTCACTCTAATATTATTCAACAGACGGCAGCATAAATATAAATAGATATCGATATCAAATTAAAATATCAAAATATTTTCACGCAATTTTTTAACGGCTGGCATCTTGCACGGCTTCTGTGTCCAATAAATGAACTTATTTTTAAAAAGACTGAGACGAGACTTTTCCTTGAAAGTTTATTTTATTAGTTGAATATACATTTCTAGATTAATGCAAGTTCTATCATTTGTTTCATGCGGATTCATACCATTTCAAATTGACCACAATACCTCGTCTGAATTAAATGTGAATATGAATTGAATTTACTCCGCAAGCAGATAACCTGAGTCAGAGAAGACTATTGATCCAGTCATGTTACTTGAGGCTTCAGATGAGAGGAAGGCAATTACATTTGCAATTTCATTTGGATCCCCAACTCGTCCTAGAGGCTGTCGTTTGTCCATATCTTCATACACAGTATTTGTATCAGGTACAAGTGGAGACAAAAACCTAGTTCGTACTGGACCAGGATTGACTGAGTTTACTCGAACATGTGGAGCCAGTTTAAGTGCCATTGTTTTTGTAAACATATCAAGAGCAGCTTTAGACATAGAATAGTACCAGAATTTTTCACTCTGTAAAAAATGATTGATTTAGTCATTGGGAATTCTTATATTAATACTTTTATGAGATAAACTTACCGGTTTCACAGCTACAACACTGCTAACATTGACAATCAATCCTTTAGATTTAACCAAATGAGGAATAGACAGTTCAGTTAAACGGACAACAGATCGAACGTTAACTTGTTGAACTCGATCATAATCATGAATATAATCAGGATCTCTTATGTCTTTAGTACCACCGAGACCAGCATTGTTAACTAATATATCTAAATGTTTGTAAGCAGAAATCGTCTCTTCAAAAGTTCGAACAACATCTTCATCTCTCGTGAAATCAGCTTTGATAACAACAGGCTTGTAGTTGTGAGGTGATTTGGCTTCACATTCAGCAGCTACTTGATCCAGTTTAGTTTGATCACGTCCAACTATGGCCACTTTAGCACCTAAAGATGAAAAGAGTACAGCTGCTGCTTTTCCGATTCCATCACTAGAACCAGTAATTAAAGCGACTTTATTGTCAAGATTGATCATTTCGTAAATTAATTAGTTGATGTTAATGAGTTTTAGTTGAGTTACTTTTTAATGACAACTCTTAAGAAAAAACTCAGCTTAAATAGTAAATTAGATTGATCCAGAATGAACGATGATGATGACTTAAAAGGCGTTTTTAATTGTAATCCTCAGCCAAGATGAGTACTTTAGTATCTAAAACTTTATGTAACCAATGAACTTGAATTTTCAATTCTTAATTGTAACGTTTGTAAATATTGTTCGAGATTGATTCAGAGAATAGATTAAAAGTCTCTATGTACGTAAATATCATAGCGAATAATCTTTTTCAGATTAAATGTCTCTTTTAATATTCGTCAACATTATAAAAAATCGCGATTAAATGAAGAATATAGTTAATTTGTTCGAATTGAGTTAAAAATAGTTCAGAATAATTCAGTTCTGATAAAACAGAAAGGATTAACTTGACGTGGCAATGAATAAGATAAAGAGACAATAAATCTAAATGAATAGACAAGGTTGAGGAATAAAATGCTGATTGAAGAGCGATAAATTGTTATGACATGAAATAATAAAAAATATTATGTGATATAATATTTACATAGAGATTTAAAATGTGAATATACATTAAAAGTAGACATTTAATCTCGAACAATATTTACAAATGTTACAATACAGAATTGAAAATTCGAGTTCATTGGTTACATAGAGTTTTACAGATTAAATCTTGGATTATGATTATAATCAAAAATCGTTCATTCTGGATCAATCTAACTTACTATTTAAGCTGAGTTTTTTGTTAAGAGCTGTCATTAAAAAGTAACTCAACTAAAACTCATTAACTTGGTTTGCTGATTTTAAATTCAATCAACTTAACTAATTTACGAAATGATTAATCTTGACAATAAAGTCGCTTTAATTACTGGTTCTAGTGATGGAATCGGAAAAGCAGCAGCTGTACTCTTTTCATCATTAGGTGCTAAAGTGGCCATAGTGGGACGTGATCAAACTAAACTGGATCAAGTAGCCTCTGAATGTGAAGCCAAATCACCTCACAACTACAAGCCTGTTGTTATCAAAGCTGATTTCACGAGAGATGAAGATGTTGTACGAACTTTTGAAGAGACGATTTCTGCTTACAAACATTTAGATATATTAGTTAATAATGCTGGTCTTGGTGGTACTAAAGACATAAGAGATCCTGATTATATTCATGATTATGATCGAGTTCAACAAGTTAATGTTCGATCTGTTGTCCGTTTAACTGAACTGTCTATTCCTCATTTGGTTAAATCTAAAGGATTGATTGTCAATGTTAGCAGTGTTGTAGCTGTGAAACCGGTAAGTTTATCTCATAAAAGTATTAATATAAGAATTCCCAATGACTAAATCAATCATTTTTTACAGAGTGAAAAATTCTGGTACTATTCTATGTCTAAAGCTGCTCTTGATATGTTTACAAAAACAATGGCACTTAAACTGGCTCCACATGTTCGAGTAAACTCGGTCAATCCTGGTCCAGTACGAACTAGGTTTTTGTCACCACTTGTACCTGATACAAATACTGTGTATGAAGATATGGACAAACGACAACCTCTAGGACGAGTTGGGGATCCAAATGAAATTGCAAATGTAATTGCCTTTCTCTCATCTGAAGCCTCAAGTAACATGACTGGATCAATAGTCTTCTCTGACTCAGGCTATCTGCTTGCGGAATAAATTATGATACTTGTAGTTGGATTGAAATGGTGTAAATCCGCTTACAAAAATGATAGAATTTGCATTAATCTAGAAATGTATCTTTACATTATTGAATCAATAAAGTGAACTTGCAAGGAATAGTCTCGACTCATTGTTTTTAAAAATAAGTTCTCATCTTCAGGTTCACCATTAAATACTCCTTTGAATACCTTTCAACGCTAAATGCTGAAACCTTTTCTTTTTCATTCTGCACTTGATTTTATAACTGAAAACTTGGCAAAAAAACGTGTAAACATCAGCGAAACCGTCGTTTGATATCCAAATATTGCTTCCATTAACATTAAAATGACACCATGAGGAACAACGGCTCTAGATTTTATGAAACAGGGATCCCGAAACAAATTGCACAAATGTGCAAATTCAATTTCATGACTTCACATTCAGCAGCTACATGAGCAAGTTTAGTTTACTCACGTCCAACTATGGCCACTTTAGCATCGAGAGATGAAAGAGTTTGGCTGCTGCTTTTACGATCCTTTAATACCAAATGGTTCAATCCCTTTAATCATTTGCATTCGCTCTTCTTTACCTTATTCCTCGGCAGTCAATGAACCGAGAAGTTCACTACACAGCTTCAAACTGGATTCACTGGCCATATTTCCTATTGATCTTCAGCCAAAACATCAGGATAAAGAAATACTTGCTTCAAGTTGCTTTAAAAAGACACAACTAACACAATTGTAACATTTATGCATCAACATTTTACACAAAAGTGCAGAATGGGGCTAAAAAATCGATATCTTACAAATTTAAATTTATCTTGGGTAGTAGGGACATAAACACGAAGTCCACTTATGCGATTTAAAGTTTTCTTTGATCGATAGTTTTCGAGAAAATTGCGTTCAAAGTTGAAACTTCGATCGCCTTTAGCTCAGCTTTGGAAGCATATTTTTTTATGAAACTCACTACACTGATGTAGCTTTTGACACTCAACCAGAAAATATAATAATTTTGAGAAAAAAAGTTTCTTGTTCAAAATAAAACAGATAAGTTCGACTTGCATTTAAATCGACCGATCTGTGTGACAGAAAGAATTAAGGAGCTGAAACTTGCTACACGGCTATAAAAATTGTTGGCCCACATCATGTACTGAATACTTTATACAATTCATCAATAGTTCGCTTGATTTTGGCCAATTGCAATAAAACTTTGAGCCTCGATATTTCGAAAAATGTGGTACCTACAGTCATCATTCTTTCACCAAATTGATCCTTTACTAATTAATAATTCAATTCCATTGAATAACTTTCCATAAGCGGCTTTGAGTCTTGATTTTTGGGTTATAAATGTACTAGCAACAACTTATTTAACAAACTAAACTCATCTTAACCCATATCTTGGTGAATAAACCATTTTTCTGGTTAAACTTGCACACTAAAGTTTAAAGACTATTGCCAAAGGCTCGAACATTTGAATCGAGAGTTGAGATCCGTTAGTATTTGTAGAGAAGTGAAAACTGAGTCAATTGGTACTATTAAATAAGTCATCCGATGGTCAGTTCTCGAGGAAATCGAGTCCAAAGTTTAAACTTCGATCGCTTTTTTCTCAGCTTCAGAAGTAGATTTTTTTATGAAACTAATTTTAATGATACAATTTTGAATGACCAACCAGAAAAGCTCCTTATTTTGAGAAATAAAATTTTCATTTTTCTGTAAAATAGATAAGTTCGATTTTTAGTTAAATCGACCTTTTTCTGTGACCATAATAGTTAGAGACCTGAAACTTATTATTTGTTTCTAGAAATTGTTGCCTGACATCATGACTTGAATACTTTTCTCAAACAATCAATAG